CAGAGCATGCTGTGCTGGGAGAACATGGGATGCCAGAGCAGATCTGTTGAGGGTTGGATGCCAGGCTCAGAGGTTACGGGAAGTCAGCAGTGACAGAATTAGGATAAGGACAGACCAGAACTCGGGGCAAGGTGGGAGTTATGGTGGTCTAACCTAGAATGTGCATGCAGGACTGAGGAGACTCATGTAGACCACATCACTGTGACAGGGGAAACATACACTGCCAGGAGCAAAGCCCATCAGGTGGGGGGGGGAGGCGGTGTGGATGCTGGTCTGTGGTCAGCTGTCAGCTGGACAGGGTAAGGGGCAGGGTACTGTGCCAGGTGCTGGGGCTGAGCAGCCTACCTGGTAACCAGGTATCCAGCAGCGAGGCCTGGGTGGGGGTGGAGGTGAGGCGCCCTGCTTGTTTGAAGAGGGTGAGGCAGCCCAGCCCTGCTTTCGGGGCTCACAAGGAGCTAGTGTTGAGCAGCTGATCAGTGGGAGAATTTGGGCTGCCAGACGTGCAGAGGTTGGGGGAGGATCTTCAGGTGCAGCTCACTGCAGTCTGTGAACAGTAGCCTGATGGGAGGGACCGAAAGGTTGGCTAAGCCTCCATCCCTCTGGGCTAGGGCATGGGAGGGAGAGTTGGGGTTAGTGTTGGCAAGGCCTTGGGCCAGGCTGAGGGGTGGCGGGGGACGTCATGATGGAACCAAGCTGCTCTTGAAGTCTGTTTTGGAATGTGCTCACTGAGGCTTAGCTTCAGCCTCTGCATATGGTCACCTGCCTCAGTTTCCCCATCTGTGTGATGAGTTGTCAGTATAAGGGAAATTCAGGCAGAGTGTAAGCTGCTCTAACCAATGAGGGCAGGCATCTTCTGGCTTGGGATTTTAGGCCTCTGCAGTGCTTTCTTCCTGAACATCCTAAGAAAACTGCCAAGTGAGGGGTCTCCAGACACAGATTTGGGGCACCCTGAAGCGGGGCAAGAACACAGCCCAGAGAATGGGGTCTTTCTTGGGCTAAAGGTGTGGCTCAGTTGGTAGAGTGCTAACCAATGAGCAAAAGCAGCAGGTACTAAGTTCAAGTCCCAGGCTCAGACCTAAAAAAAAAAAAAAAAAGATAGGTGGGGATGGGATCTTTCATTCTTTCTTTTCTTTTTTCTTTTTTTTGTCCGTTGTAGGGCTTGAACTCTGGGCTTGGGCGCTGTCCCTGCGCTCTTCAGCTCAAGGCAAGCGCTGTACCACTTGAGCCACAGCGCCACTTGTGGTTTTCTAGTGGGACATTTGGGGTTGCCAGGAATCAGGGTGTCAGGCAGGTGCTAGTGCTGCCCAGGTTCCGCCTGCAGGGGGCCTGTAAGCCTCTCACCTGTGAGGTGGGGCTGGTGGAGAACTAATTTCCGGTGCTATTTTAATTTTGCTGTATTTAATTTGCTGTTTATTTTAATTAATTAACAGAGGTAATGGCCTCTTCTGACTTGACTTGCTGCCTCAGGCTCCTCTTCCTTTTTGGAGGGGGAAGGCCCAGGCTAAATGACACTGGGTGAAGTGGAGGTGGGGGGGGGCAGAGGGAGAGTCTTAGAGCTACACCCTCTCTCCTCTCCCATTGTAGGGTCTTCCCACTGGCAACTCCCCAGCTGGCGCCCCCCGCCCCCTTTCCTTTCCCAGATCTGCTTCAGGGCCTTAGCTGTAGCAACTGTGGCCTTGAGAAGTTGCTTATTCTAATATTTCTGCATCATAGCTATGGTCATGACAGGCCACCGGTGTTGGGTGGTGCTCTAAGCTGTTGGGGAATCTTTGTGAGGTGTGTGTGTGTGTGTGTGTGTGTGTGTATGTGGAATGTGTGTGTTCATTGGCAGCCCCCCTCCCTACCCCATTGCTCAGCCTGTGGAACACCAGCATGCCCAAGATCCTGTGGAAACATCTATGGTCATGGTTTCAGTTATTAATCCCCAGGGCAAGACCCAGTGAGGAGCAGGATTAGTCCCTTGCCAAGGTGAGGAGAGGGAGACTCAGGGAAGCCACGTGACTGGCTGGAGGTCATAGAGCAACTAAGAGAAGCAGAGTCTTGACTCCAGTTGTCAGGCTGTATGAAGGGGCTAACAGTTGGAGGGAGGGCGGGGGTAGTGGCTTGGGGAGAGGATTGGGTAAGAACTGATCAGGTCAGGAAATGGGGTCCTCTGGCTCTGGAGGATGTTGGGCTGGAGAGTGGGTCCTGTCACAAGGGGTGTCTCAAGGAGGTAAGATCTCTGCCACCTCTTTCTACTCTCTGGTATGTTTTCATTTGTCTGATTTGTTTTGTTTTGTTTTTGGCCAGTTGTGGGTCTTCAACTCTGGGCCTGGGTGCTGTCCCTCAACTCTTCAGCTCAAGGTTAGTGCTCTGCCACTTGAGCCACAGCGCCACTTCCAGTTTTCTGGTGGTTAATTGGGGATAAGAGTCTCACAGAGGGGCCGGGAAGGTGGCTCAGTGGTAGAGCGCTTGCCTTGCATGCATGAGGCCCTGGGTTCGATTCCTCAGCACCACATAAGCAGAAAAAAAAAAGCCGGAAGTGGCGCTGTGGCTCAAGTGGTAGAGCACTCGCCTTGAGCTGAAGAGCTGAGGGACAGCGCCCAGGCCCAGAGTTCAGGCCCCACGACCGGACCCCCCCCCCCCCAAAAAAAAAAAAAGTCTCACAGACTTTCCTGCCTGGGCTGGCTTTGAACCAAGATCCTCAGATCTCAGCCTCCTGAGTAGCTAGGATTACAGGCGTGAGCCACTGGCACCCGGCTTCATTTGTCTGTTTGAACTGGGGTAATCTGCCACAGGGACCTTTCTATGACTGGGTAGCATTACACACCTTTCTGTTTGTCTATCTACAGCAGTATTAGGATTTGAATTCAGGATTTCACACTTACTACATTTGTGTGCTCTACCACTTGAGCCACTTTGTGTGTGTGTGTGTGTGTGTGTGTGTGAGAGAGAGAGAGAGAGAGAGAGAGAGAGAGAGAGTCAGTTTTCTGGAGCTTGAACCCAGGTCTTAGGCGCTATCCCTGAGCTTTTTGGCTCAAGCCTAGTGCTCTACCACTTGAACCACAGCTCTCCTTCTGGCTTTTTGATGGCTAATTAATGAGTCACAGCACAGGGACTTTTCTGCCTAGGCTGAGTTCCAACTGAGATCCTTAGATCTCAGCTTCCTGAGTAGTTGGGATTATAGGCGTGAGCCACTGGTACCTGGCACCAGCCTCAACTTTTATTTACTTAACAGACATCTACCGTGTTCCTCCTGGTTACTCCCATAAATTGATATTCGTCTAATCACCTCACCTTCCATCTTGTGGTCCTTACTTTACATATAGTCATCCCTATGTCTTCTGTTTCATTTTTCACTTTCAGTCAGCTGCAGCCCACTACAGTCTAGAAATATTAATGGGAAGATCAAAGAAATGAACAACTTCCCAGACACCAGTGGGTCATGCCAGTAATTCTAGTTTACTTAGAAAGCTGAAATCTGAGGATGGAGGTTCGAAGCCAGCCCAGGCAGGAAAAGTGTGAAACTTTTATCTCCATCCAATTAACTATCAAAAAGCTGGAAGTGAAGCTGTGATTCAAGTGTAATGTGCCAGCTTTGAGCAAAAAAGGCCAGGGACAGTCTCACACACACACACACACACACACACACACACACACACACACACACCAACTCATTAGTTTTAAGTAACTTTTATTACCATATATTGTAATTGTTCTATTTGGTTATTAATTATTACTGTCTGTGCCTAATTTGTAAATAAAACTTTATTATACGTAGGTGTGTTTAATAGGAAAAAAAAAAACAGCTTAGTATTTATAGGGTTTGCTCTTAGCCAGTCTCATGCACAGTCTTGATGTCTTTTCCTGCAGATAAAAGGGAGGAGTACTGTGTTAGGGAACTGAGGCATAGAAAGGCTAAGGAACATGCTGGGTTACACAAAATTTTGAACTTGGAATACTGACATCCATATTCTTCATTTGGAATCCTAGCTACTCAGGAATCTGAGATCTGAGATCCGAGATCTGAGGTAGAGGTTCAAAACCAGTCCAGGAAGAAAAATCTGTGAGACTTTATCTTCAATTAACCAGCAAAATGTCAGACTGAAGATATGGCTCAAGTGGTAAAGCCCTAAATTCAAGCCCCACTATCAACATACGCGAGTGCGTGCACACACACACACACATACACACACTCACTCCTTATTTTGAACCACTATGTTACCAGGCTCCCTTGGGCACTGCCCTAAGTAGGAGGTAGGGTGGAGCTTTGAACTTGGAGGACATAAGGTATCTTGGGGAGCTTCTGGTCCAGCCCTCACTAGTCCTGTATTTGGAAGGACAGACATGGCCTACACATCAAGACCTGTTCTGGGGAAACTGACAGAGCATCAGGCGTGCAGAGCAGCAGCCCGAGAGCCCTGTGGGGCCCAGCTGCTGCAGTGCTGGCCACTGGTTGGGGGACGTAGAAGGGTTGGCCTCAGAACTCATCTGGCAGGAGAAACATAGTACATGCGTGTGAACAGTTCAAGGGTGGATGGATAAGACCATGGGGAAAACCAAAAACAATGCAGCTAAGAGTTTGGCTTTGGAACCCATGTGTCTTTAGTTACTGATTCTTCTCTAAGACTGTTTTTCTCAGCCGTCAAGGTAAAATCATCATGGTGTACTACTACCATGAGGTATTTATTTATTTAATTTGTTTTGGTGCCAGTAATGGGTCTAACTCAAGGCCTAAGTACTGTCCCATAGGTTTTTCACTCAGAGCTGGCATTCTACCACTGAGCCACAGCTTCACTTCCAGCTTTTTGGTAGTTAGCTAGACTCAGGTTTTTCTGCTGTGGCTGGCTTCAAATTGTGATCTTGGGATCCCAGCCTCCTGTGTAGCTACGATTATAGGTTTGAGCCACTGGCACCCTACTGCCATATGGTTTTGGTGTTAACTGGGGTTTGAACTTGGTAGGTCAGCACCCAATCCCTTGGAACCATGGCCCTAGTTCCTTTTTTGCTTTATTTTTCAGATAGGATCTCATGTTTTTGCTGGTGCCAGTCTGGACCAAGATCCTTCTACTTACATCGTCTACATAGCTGGAATTACAGGCATGTGTCACCACACCCACCCAGTTTATTATCATTTATCAGTAACTTTTTGCCCAGCTGACCTGAAACCATGATTGTCCCAATCTCCTCCTCTTGAGTAGCTGTGATTACAGGTGTAAATCACTGTGCCTGAGCTTGCCATGGGGTTTTGAGAGATCAAATGAGATAAAATATGAAAGGCTAGAACCCTGCAGCTGATGTTCAGTGAATATCCATCTGGATGTTAAGATCCGACACCTAAAGAAAAAGTGCCCAGCCACTGGGAATGGGGCTGAGCAGTGATGGGCCTGGCTTTGGAGTCAGACCTCTGGTGTCTGAATCCTGTCTGTGGGAAGTAGCTTTTCCAACCGTTCCCAGTCTTGATTTCCTTGTCTATAAAATGGTATGATAGTAATTCTCCTTAAAGTGGTGGGCATATATTATTTTATTCATCAACTACTACTCACTACTTGCTAAATGCCAGACCTGTTTCCAGTCAGCACAGAGAGTAAGAGGCCAGTACACTTTAGCAGTCTTACTAGTGTGGTCATCTGGACAAAGAAGGACCATTCAGGAAAAAGGAATTGAGTAGCCAGGCTTTTAGAGCAGAGGGAGCAGCACAATAAAATGTCATGAAGATAATAGTGACCTGGCTCCCCATTTTGCTCATAAAGGATGATAGTCTCAGAGAGAGATAGCTACATCCCCACCGCAGCGCAGTTGGAAGGGGCAGAGTTGTAGTTTGAGAGTGGAAAGCTTTGTGTTCTATTTATTTATTTATTTGGATCTGGTTGTGGGGCTGAACTCTGGGCCTGGGCGCTATCCTTCAGCTCTTCAGCTCAAGGCTAGCGCTCTACCACTTCAGCCACAGCGCCACTTCCGGCATTTTACTTTTTGCTTATGAGGTGCTGAGGAATCAAACCCAGGGCCTCATGCATGCAAGGCAAGCGCTCTACCACTGAGCTACCTTCCCAGCCTCTTATTTATTTTTTATTTATTGTTTTATTTTATTTTTGTTGGTCCTGGGGCTTAACTCAGGGCCTGAGCAATGTCCCTGAACCTCTTTGTGTTCAAAGCTAGAGCTCTACTATGTGAACCACAGTGCCACCTCTGGCTTTTTCTGAGTAGTTTATTGGAGTTAAGAGTCTCACTTTTCTGCCCAGGCTGGCTTCAAACCAGGATCCTTAGATCTCAGCCTCCTGAATGGCTAGGAGGAACCCATCTGAGTCACTGGAACCTGGCTGCTTTGTGTTCTTAAACTGGTTTAGGAGCTGGAATGGGGGTGGGGCTTTGATTCAGTTCACTAACCTGCCCAGGAGGGTTAGTGAGCTCAGGGCAGGAAGAACATGAAGCTGGCTGGAAGGCTTCCCAGAACTAGTGAGGCCAGAGAAATGGGCAAGTTGAAGAAATTAGGGGTGGGGGCATAGCATTCCAGGTAGGGCGCAGGCAAAGGCCCTGAGGTTGACTAAGAAACTTAGCTTAGGGCTGAAAAGTGGGTGGAAATAGCCCAGTGCATGTGAGTTGAGAGAGCTAGTGGCCTCACAGCCACCCTGGTTGACGGATTCAGAAGGCTTACGCTTGTCACCAAGAAAGGAAATAGCATGGTGGTCCACAGGGCAAGAGCCAAGCTGCATCACAGTTACCATTTTGAAAATGGGGGGTAATGGAAGTCACTGGCTCTTTAGTCCAGGACTTGACACAGCCAGTATGCGGCTCATAAATTCACTCAAGCGCATATTGGTATTAGGCACTTTTCTAGTACACACAATAGAAAATTGACTTTAAAAATCAAATTCGGGGCTAGGAAGGTGGCTCAGTGGTAGAGTGCTTGACTCGCATGCATGAGGCCCTGGGTTTGATTCCTCAACACCACATAAGCAGAAAAGGCTAGAAGTGGCACTGTGGCTCAAGTGGTAGAGCGCTAGCCTTGAGCTGAAGAGCTGAGGGACAGCGCCCAGGCCTAGAGTTCAAGCCCCATGACTGACAAAAATAAATAAATAATATTCATAGTCTGACTTATGGAATTAAAACCCTTTTGTACAACTTCTTAAGGGGGAAAAAACATCCCTGCCCTCAACAAGCTTACACTGAGAGAGTGAACAGACAGTTCACTCATGCCCAGTTAGCTAGATGGGCATGGTAGTGTACTCCTATAACCTCAGTGCTCAGGAGACTGAGTCAGAAAGATTGTGAACTCAAGGTAAGCCTGGACTATATAGCCAGACCCTGTATCTAAATTAACTAATTAAAAATACATTCATACACATAGTGGTAAGTGCCAAGGAGGAAAATAAAACAGGCAGGAGCTTAGAGTGTCAAGGTTGAAGAATTATTTTTAATCTTTAATTTTTCTTTTTGTCAGTTATGGGACCTAAACTCTGGGCCTGGGCACTCTCCTTCAGCTTTTCAGCTCAAGGTTAGTGCTCTACCAATTTGAGCCACAGCACCACTTCCGGCTTTTTCTGCTTATGTGGTATTGAGGAATCAAACCCAGGGCCTCATACATGTGAGGCAAGCATTCTACCACTAAGCCACCTTCCCAGCCCCTTTATTTATATTTTTAAGATAGATTCTATGTTGTTCTAAGTGATATCTTCCCCTACCTTGGTCTCCTGCATAGCTAGAACTACAGGTGCACACAACTGAGCCTAGCGCTCTACCACCTGGAATTCTAATTTAAGTTAAAAATGGAGGTGGTTATTATATTGTTTGCAGATTTTAGGGGGAAAAAAAAAACCTTCCAATGCTAGGTACATGTGGCTCGTGGCTATAATCCTAGCTACTCAGGAGGCTGAGATCTGAAGAGCGTGTTTTTATGCCAAGCGGATCCGGAAGGTCTGTGAGACTCCTACCAGGAACTGGTGGCTCCTGTCTGTAATCCTAGCTACTCAAAAGGCTGAGATCGAGGATCACAGTTCAGAACCAACCCGGACAGTAAAGTCCATGAGCTCTCAATGAGACAATCACCAAAAAGCCGGAAGTGGCTCAAGTGGTATAGTGCTAACCTTGAACACCAAAGCTCAGGGACAGTGCCCAGACCTTGAGTTCAAGTCCTAGGATTAGCACCAAAACAAACAAACAAAACCCACCTTCCAGTTTCTGTGTCATTTGTCTTTCATGAGACTCAGGTGATGTATGGCTATTACTGTGAGACTCAGGTGATGTATAGATATTACTGTTTCCATCTTGTAGGTGAGGGAGGACACTGAGACTCAGGAGACTGACACAGAAGTCATGCCTTTGAGGGCAGAACTCTGCCAGCTGACTCCCTGTGGTGAGGGCATAGGAAGAGTCCATGGGAGAGGACGGGCAATGCCAAGGTAGGCCAGTGTCCAGGCACAGAGCTGAGCTGGGGTCAGCTTCCCTTGGCCAGGTCAGCTCCGGGTGAGTGGAGACAGTGGCTGGGCCTGGAAGCAACCCTGAGGGCAGAGCCGGGGGCAGCAGGCTAGGCCCGAGACACTGTGTGATTGAGCGAGGGGCAGAGTCTGTCCAGAACTGCATGAGTGTGTGGGTGGCATGGCCACTGAGAGGAGGGAAAAGAGCAGAGAAGAAGCCAGCGCACTGACCAGATGAGAGGGAACATGGAAGAGGTCAGCAGGGCCAGCCCTGGCTGTGAAGGCCCTTGAGTGTCAGGCCTGAGACCTTGGCCTTCGTGTTGTCGTCAGCAGTGGGGAGCTGTTAAAGGTTTCCAGGCAGAGACCCGGTGTCACAAGAAAGGGATTTGAGAAACATGTATCTGGCACTGGGTGGAGGAGATTCCATGGGAGCTACTGGAGGTGGGAATCCCACTGGGAGGCCTGCGCAGCTGAGCAGGTGAGCGATGACGAGGTCACATCCCCACAGACAGTTTGGACTGGTGGAAGGAGTCAGGTCTGGGACGTTAGTCCTGGGCAGCCTTTGGTCTGCCTAGGTTTTCTGAGGAACACTCAGCTGGTCCTTATCTCCTCCCTTTGAGCTTCTGCTTGAACCCAAGGCACCGGTGCTGCTCCTGAGCTTTTTTGCTCAAAGTAGATGTTCTACCCCTTGAACCCATAGCTCTACTTTTGTTTTTTTTCTTGGTGCTTAATTGGAGATAAGAGTCTTAAGGACTTTTTTAACTAGGCTGGCTTTGAACTGTGATCCTCAAATCTCAGTTTCCTAGGTAGCTAGGATTATAGATGTGAGCCACTGGCTTTTTTTTTTCCTTTTGGGCTACAGTCATTTTGAAAATATGGTAAAGACTACTAGAGCTTTCGCTCCAGAAAGACACAAAAACAAGGTTTTACAAGCTTTACATTTTGTGAGGTTTACATACTTGTCAAAGTCTATCCATACAACCAAGCTAGATGATCAATGTTAAAAACAACAGCTAGCACTAAATGCTTTTTTGGGGGCCAGGTGCTGAGCGAACTGCTCTCTACCTCATGATCTTATTAAAGCTGGTCAACAACCTTAGGAAATAGGTACCGCTGTTTTTATTCTGTTTTATAGATGAGGAAACAGAGGAGCACTAGAGGTGAAGTGACTTGCTCAGTCACAGCAGGAATTTAAGGCTGGGTGGCACAGCCACTAAGGTTAGCCCGGTATTCTAGAATGAAGGAAGGAGAAATGGCACCTGTGGGGAGAATTTTCCAAGAAAGCCCAGGAGAAGGAAGAGCTAGAGGTAAGGGAAAGGTGGAGTGGTGCCAGCTCAGCCTTGTGTTACAACAAAGGCATCACGCAATGAGGGGAGGGCTGCTGATATTTCATCTCGAGCCCCCATCCTAACTTCCAGAGGGGTTGGTGTCGGCCCCGTGTCCCTCAGCTAAGGAATATGCTTGGGAGTCTGCTGGGAAGAGAGGAGTGTGGGCTACTCTAGCTTTGAAGCCGGATTGTGCTCAGCCCCTTGGCAGGGAAGGCTTATTATCCCTGACCCTTTGACTTAGCCTTCAGTGCTGTCTCTGGAATCTAGCCTCCCTCTCCACCCCAAGGCCACTGAGAAAGGCCAGCAGGCCTTGATCTCTCTAGAGGAGTTCAGAAGTAGAGACACTCTTTCCATTCCAGAGAGGAGCTCTAGAGCTCATCTGCTGAGCTCAGCAGTCCCAGGTTGCGTGGGAGCCACGTAGGGCTCTGGTTTAGATCCCGGTTGGCAGGACTGTCTAGAAGCATAGCAGAAGATGATCTGCATTTGGCTGGACCATGTTCTCAGACTGGAATCTAGATTC